TTTTATTTTTTTTGGAGACAGAGCCGCTTTGTTGCCAGGCTAGAGTCAGTGCTGTGTCAGCCTAGCTCACAGCAACCTCAAACTCCTGGCCTCAAGCAATCCTTCTGCCTCAGCCTCCCGAGTAGCTGGGACTACAGGCATGCAGAACCATGCCGCTAATTTTTTATATATATTAGTTGCCAATTAATTTCTTTCATTTATAGTAGAGACGGGGTCTCGCTCTTGCTCAGGCTGGTTTTCAAACTCCTGAGCTCGAGCAATCCACCCGCCTCGGCCTCCCAGAGTGCTAGGATTACAGGCATGAGCCACCGCGCCCAGCCTGATTCACTTTTATTTTCTCGTTTCAAGTCTCACTTCCCTTTTTCCTCTAGGAGGAAAAAGGACTTTATCATACTAGCAAATTTAAAGATTCTCTAGAGATATTCAATTATTTATCTACAGTCAGAGTAGACCCACAGAATACGGAAGAGCAGGCCATGGCACTAGAGCTGCCCCTGAGGCAGAGTAGGGGTAGCATAGTAAAGGGAGGGAAGGGGGAAGCAGGAAGGCAGGGTGAGTCTGGAGGACCACTAGGTAGAGTCCAGTCAACACAGCACAGTAGGCTGGGCGTGGTAGCTCATGCCCGCAATCCTAGCACTCTGGTAGGCCTAGGCGGGAGGACCGATCAAGATCAGGAGTTCGAAACCAGTCTGAGCAAGAGTGAGACCCCATCTCTACTAAAAAAATAGAAAGAAATTAATTAGCCAACTAAAAATATATAGAAAAAAATTAGCTGGGCATGGTGGCACATGCCTGTAGTCCCAGCTACTGGGAAGGCTGAGGTACTCGGCAGGCTGAGGCAGAAGGATTGCTTGAGCCCAGGAGTTTGAGGTTGCTGTGAGCTAAGCTGACACCATGGCACTCTAGCCCGGGCAACAAAGTGAGACTCTGTCTACAAAAAAAGGAAAAAACACAGCACAGTAACCATCTGGGGGATGGTTATGCTGGAGACTCAGACTTGTGGGGGGAGGGGGGAAGGGGCATTTATTGAAACCTTAAAATCTGTACCCCCATAATATGCTGAAGTAAAAAAAAAAAAAAAAACCACAGCACAGTAGCCAGAAGGATGCAGCAATCTCCAATCCCAGTGCAAGCAAACCACTGGCACCAGGGACTTGAGAAGTCTCAAGATGGCCTCACCAGTAGCCACAAGAAATCAAAACAGACTCTCTAGCATTTGCCACCCAAGGTGTGGTCCTCCAACCAGCAACAGCAACGTCACCTGAGTGTTATCAGACATGCAGAATCTCAGGTCCCACCACCCCACTTAACAAGACCTCTGCATGATGTAAATGCATATTTAAATTGCTCTGAACCAGCTTGAGAACAAGCACGAATCAGTAGTAATCACAGTAGACAGTTTAGCCAAGGCTGGGACTGAGCCACTCTTAATCGTAAGGATTGCCTGGAAAGATTCTGATGCAGTAGGCTTCGGGTAGGGCGCAAGAACCTGTGTTTTTAGCAAGCACACAGATGATTCTGATTCCAGAGGTTCCAACTGGTTTAGTTCTGGACAGACGACATGAGGTTTCCCCTTATGTCTGTACAGAATAATATATTAAATTCTTAACTCATGTTTTCTATGTATTTTTCTATTTTGCTTATTGCTCATTTCTAGCAGAAAGGCCATTTGGTGGCCATTGCCATTTGGAAGGGATGTAGGAGGAGGGAAAGCTAAAGAACACTAACAGACAGTCAGACAGACTTCTTCCTGACAGTGGCTCCCAAAACCCTAAAGCCCGTAGTGGTACTAGAGGAACGAGACATAGCCCCGTGTTTAGAAGTAGGATTGGGGAACAGGAGGACTTTCCCACATCAGAAAAAAAGAGAGACAGGCAAAAGGGCAGATGTCACTGAGGCCTGGAGACTGGGAATTTGTGCCGTGATTGCTGCATAGAAGAAGTGGCCACCTCACAGATATTCCTATACCCTCAAGAATGGCGTGGAATCGCCCAGGAAAGGCCATGTGACTTGAAGAAGCAGCCTCTTGACTTGCATGTTGGGAGACCGCCTTGGCAGGCACCTACGTGGACATGACTAGAGATCAGATGGGCCTTGGTCGCTGCCACTACCATGGTGCCTTGGTGTTCTCAAGCCCTCCAGGTGCAGACTGAAACTCGGATAAATGCCTGTAGAAGGGACAGTGTATTGAGTGTGAAGCCCAGTGGGTTAGGGACTCAGAATTAAGTTGTTATAGAAAATAAAGATAACTGGAATGTAGAGTGAAAATTGCACCAGATACATGGGAAGGTTGGCAGGACTGGAACGCAAGGAAATCCTTCCATATAGTCCTCCCGAGGGGTTCTCATGTGGCCCCTCTTGCCACTAACTCTAACTTTCCTCCTCAGAATCCCCAGAAATCCTATTTTCTTTATTTCTATTTTCTCCCCAGAAATCCTATTTTCTTTATTCTTTCTTTATGTACTTTCTTTACTCTTCTCAAAACTGCCTTTAATGGTCCAGCAGGAAACACCTCCATCACCCTTTAAAACTAGAAAATCCAAACAAGGGCAAAGGAAGCAGCAAGTCTCCCTGTGATCCACTTTCTCCTGGGCCAGGGAGAACCCAATTTTTCAAAACACATGGCTTCCCCTTCCCTCCCTGGAGAGAGTGACCCATGCGAATCCTTCCTGGAGAGGCCGACCTCATGCCTAGGGTGGCCTAAGGTGCTCTTGAATGGGCAGAGAAAAGGGCAGTGTTTTCGTATTAAAACAAGATGAACTTTCTCATCTAGTACCCAAATACTCTTACCAACATAGTTGCTTATTTGAATTCAAAGTGAAATATGTGTTAGCTTTTGGGAGAAATGCCAGCTACCGTGTTTCCCCCGAAAATAAGACCTACCCATAAAATAAGCCCTAGCAAGATGTCTAAGCATTTGCACAATATAAGCCCTACCCGGAAAATAAGACCTAGTGATGGGCATGGCTACGCAGCGTATCTGCACAACCCATGCATCTCGTCGCAAAGCAATAAAGAAGAAGAGCAGCCCTTCTCATCTGCTCCATCGTGACAGCTACTATCCCAGAGGTGACCGGAAAGGTGCAGGCAGCCCCACCAACAAGGTCGGCTCCCTGTCAGGTCCCGGCCATCCTGTGCATGCTGTAAGCTGAGGCTTTGAAGGGAAAATAACACATCCCCTGAAAATAAGCCCTAGGGTGTCTTCTTGAGGAAAAATAAATATAAGACCCTGTCTTATTTTCGGGGAAACACAGTAATAACAGCTAAGGTAGTATCTTGATTTCCACATCTCTAACCTTCCCAAGCTCAGCTTTCCAAAAGCTTCAGGGATTTGCCATCTGAAATGTCAGTCCCAGAAAGACGAATTCCTATGAAAAGCATTTGCCCTGTAACTGGTTATGGCAATGAAACTTTAAGTGAGTTTCCAGGAGTAACAGTGGTCTGGGAGAGACAATGGAACCCTAACCTCCTTCCCGAAGTGAGCACCAGGACTAAGGCAGAGACATGCTCAGGATAGGAGAAAATCCCACACACATCTCCAGTCTCTGTTTATTTCTGTGCAGAAACTTTCCCTCCTGGATCCAAAAAAACAGCAGGATCTGGCCTTGTGCCAGCCCCGCGTGTCCACACCTGCCCCAGTGCTCCCTTGGGACAGCAACAGGAGACTCTCTCTCCTCTGAAGCCAGCATGATTTTTGCTCACTTTCCCAGTCAAAGAAGGGGAATGAGCTTCCTGGAAGTGGGCACAGACAGTTAACATAAGTGACTCAAATGACAACCACGCCTCTGCCTGCCCCCACTTCCTCTTCCCTTTCATCATCTCTGAGAGCCACTTGCAGGTGCCTCCTGCACGTACAGCCTCCTAACCTTTGCTGCGGCATCATATGACAGTATGGCCCCACCCCACTCCAGAGGCACAGCCGACTCTAGGGGAGTCCCTTGATTCTGGGGTGGCCTCCTTTGGTCATGTTTCTCCTTGGAAAGAGAGAGAATGCACAGAGGGAAGAAACTGTGAAATGTGCAAAAGAGAGAGGATCAATCAGCCAGTCCTGGATCCTGGTAGTTCATTTCCTGCTTCCCTACTTTCTGAAGCCTGACAGCCCAGCTGCACCGACGGTGAGCGACTGTCTCATGTCTCTGTCACAGCTACGCTATTTCTTCACTTCTGTTGTCTGTTTCTCTCACAATGAGCCAGGACACCAGGGACCTTTTCTTCATTCATATCTGTAACTCCAGCCCTTGGTAGAGTCATCTGACACAGAGAAAGTGATTCAAATGTCAGTGGAATAAATAAAAGGACAACTTGATCGTCACATATTATCCTGAAAGAGCATGTGTTTCATAACGAAAATTGTTGGGCAATATGTTTGGTGCTTTGCACACACACAAAGACAAATACACACACACCACACAAATATTAAACATCTTTCCTGCTATCTCCTTTGTAAATAAACATGACTATTTATATAGAACATATGGCAGATGAATAAAAACACTGTATGTACATGAATGACTTTTAAAATCACATGTAAATGTTGTAGGGAGTGAATTTAATAACTGTGGGAGTTTCTTGCCAAGACAGAACAAGGGCAAGCACATTTTGTCTGTGGAATCCAGGACGCTTTGGGGAAGCAATGTGTTTTGAAGGAAGAGGTACCATCTAAAGAGTTTCTGAAATACTAAGAAGGGGACCACCTGGAGATCAGGAAACACAAGGGTTAAGCAGGGATGGCCCAGCTCAGGGAGATCTGGGTGCCCACTGGGGAAGGGCATGCAGCTGGTATACACCTTAGGAGGGAGCAAGGAAAGTAAGAAAGTCAGGGTGTTTACATTTGCTAGGACCATGCTAACAAAGTACTGCAAACTGGGTGGCCTAAACAACAGAAACTTATTGTTTCACAGTTACACAGGCTGCAAGTGCAAAATTAAGATGTCAGGTGTGTTGGTTCCTTCTGACCTCTCACCTTGGCTTGTAGACAGCCATCTTCATGGTCACATGGCATTCTCCCTGTGTACATGCCCGTCTCCGAATTTCCCCTTCTCATAAGTACACCAATCCTATTGGATGAAGGCCAACCCTATTGACTGCTTTTTACACTGATTACCTCTGCAAAGATCCTATCTCTAAATAAGATTGCATTCTGAGGTATTGGGGTTTAGGACTTCAACATATGAATTTTTTGTTTTTTCTTTGAGACAGAGTCTTGCTTTCTTGCTCAGGCTAGAGTGAGTGCTGTGGCGTCAGCCTAGCTCACAGCAACCTCAAACTCCTGGGCTCAAGCAATCCTCCTGCCTCAGCCTCCCGAGTAGCTGGGACTACAGGCATGCAGAACCATGCCCGGCTAATTTTTTCTATATATATTAGTTGGCCAATTAATTTTTCTTTCTATTTATAGTAGAGACAGGATCTTGCTCTTGCTCAGGCTGGTTTTGAACTCCTGAGCTCAAGCAATCCGCCCGCCTCGGCCTCTCAGAGTGCTAGGATTACAGGCGTGAGCCACCATGCCTGGCCAACATATGAATTTTGATAGTGAACATAATTCAACCCATAACACAGAAGTACTCCGGAAGTACTAGGAGATGAGGGTGTGTTCATGGCCTAGCTCAAATTCTAGATCTCCAATCAAAAGGGTGTTGCTTTTTAAATCACTCATTAGCACACCACCACTACCCTTGCCCCCAAATCTCCTTAATGCACGTGCTTTTTTATGGCTGCTAGAGACAAGGGTGCTTTGGTGGTTCCTATGCCTGTGGAATCCCCTATAGGACCCTCAAGTCTGAGCTGCTGCCTCCCTAGCAGTCATTTAACCTCCTGGCAGCAGTACCAACATCCTGCCGCAGAGCTTAGAGATGCCAGACACACAGATTCTCAAGCTAGTTTGTAGCCAGAGCACAGGAAGGTGACCCAGTCTTGCCTAATGGAGTCTGTTGCGGCTTTTGCTGGAAATTTTGCAATGTACATCCTTCTTAATAACTGGAAAACACAGGATAGGAACACCCCATCCTTCTTGCTCTGGACATGGCCTGGTGAGGATGGGCTGCTTAGAGCTCCAAAGTGATTTTAAAACCATGAAGGGAGACGGCACCAAAACATTGAGCGTGGCAGAGCTAGTTAAGAAATGAAAATTTCTTAACCACTTCAGTAGGCTGATATCTATGTCCTAAGCCCTGGAACCTACAAATCTTACTTTACAGATGTGATAAAGTTAAGGATCTTCAGATAATGAGATTATCCTGAATTATCTGGGTGGACCATAACTGTAGCCAGAAGCGTCTTTATAAGAGGGATGCAGAGGGAGATCTGACTGCAGAAGCAGGAGAGATGATGAAGGAAGCAAGAGATTGAGGAAGGAGTCACGAGCCAAGGAATGCAGACAGCCCCCAGAAGCTACGAAAGGCAAGCAAGACAACAGATTCTTCCTGAGAGCTTCCAGAAAAAAACAGCCCTGCCAACTGCCTTAGGGCTGGTGAAATTGATTTTGGACTTCTGGCCTCCACAACTATAAGAGAATGAAATTGTGTTATTTTAAGCCAAGTTCATGGTAATTTGTCATGGCAGCAACAGGAAATTAACATAACAACCTAACAACAACCGTCTCTGGGAACACCTCTGGATTTCTTGTAAAATGAAATCGTTTTTTAAACTCCTATGCTTTTAGGCTACTTTCAGCAAGGCTTGTTGATTGTTACCTGCAACCCAAAGCATGCTAAATAATACCTTTAGCATGATTTATGGCAATTTTGGTGGAGCTATTAGGATATAAGTTCAGCTGCTAACACAGAAATTTTTTTAAAAATAGAGGGCTGATAGTGCAACTCTGCTTCAAGAACTTTGCTTAGAACTAGGCTTCTTTTTTTAACATATTGGATACCTCCCACTTTCTTTTTTTTTTAGTAGTGATAAAATAAGTAACAATATTTTTAAATTATCATAAAAGTAATGTCTTATTGTTCTGCCATTCCTGGGGTGGTGTTCTCATCCTTGTGGCCCAAGATAACCTGCCACCATGACAATTGCAAGCCAGCCCAAGGGAAGAGCAGACGGCTCAAGGACAAGGCACACCCCAGAAGGCTACACTTTTTTTCATAGTGCAATGATCAGACCTTGGGCATCTGGCTGGGAAAGGTGGCTCACACCTGTAATCCTAGCACTCTGGGAGGCCGGGGCAGTAGGATCACCTGAGTTCAGGAGCTCGAGACTGGCCTGAGCAAGAGCGAGATCCTATCTCTACTAAAAATAGAAAAATTAGCCAGGCGTGGTGGCATGCACTTGTAGTCTTAGCTACTCAGGAGGCTGAAGCAGAAGGATCGCTTGAGCCCAGGAGTTTGAGGTTGCTGTGAGCTAGGCTGATGCCATGGCACTCTAGTCCAGACAACAAAGTGAGATTCTGTCTCAAAAACAAAAGGACTTGGGCATCTGGTCAAATCTACTTATCTGGGAAGTTGGAAGTCTTTAGTCCAATGTGCACAGTTAGAAACTCAAAAATCCTGGCAAGATGGCTCATGCCTATAATCTTAGCACTCTGGGAGGCCGAGGCGGGAGAATCACTTGAGTTCAAGAATTAGAAACTCAAAAAAAGAGAGAGAGAGAGAGAGAGAGAGAAAGCACATATTGGGTAACAACAAATGATCTCTGTTTCAGGAAAGATTACATGAGCATTAAAGTTAAAATCAAGGAGGCTTCAGCATTTCAGTACAATCACCTAATATTCAATCCTACTGATGAAGCTTAACTCATTCCAGACATTTGCCTGGTATACTACCATGGTTTAAGATTTTTTTTTTTTTTTGGTAGCAGCAGAACCTGCAATATATAAGAAAAACAATTGGTAGTACCCTTCCCCGTTACTGGCCCTCACACCTAGGACACCTCTTTGGAACACTAGTGCTCAAAGAAGATACTTCGAAACAACACATTACTCTAAAAGGAAGTGAAACCATGCTTTGCAGATAGAGTATTTCTTGGGGATTCCCAAGGCTACTGAGTTTATTTCTCCTGTGAGTTATGCTGAAACACACCCCTCCACACACACCACCCCTTGGTAAAGAAGCTGAACTAGGCTGGGCGCGGTGGCTCACGCCTGTAATCCTAGCACTCTGGGAGGCTGAGGCAGGCGGATTGCTCGAAGTCAGGAGTTCAAAACCAGCCTGAGTAAGAGCGAGATCCTGTCTCTACTATACATAGAAAGAAATTAATTGGCCAACTAATATATATAGAAAAAATTAGCCAGGCATGGTGCTGCATGCCTGTAGTCCCAGCTACTCAGGAGGCTGAGGCAGCAGGATCGCTTGAGCCCAGGTGATTGAGGTTGCTGTGAGCTAGGCTGACGCCACGGCACTCACTCTAGCCTTGGCAACAAAGCGAGACTCTGTCTCAAAAAAAAAAAAAAAAGAAGCTGAACTAGTCCTGTTGGTGCATTCAGTGCTTGGTATATTTTCAAATCACTGCAGGGGCAACAGAAGCTGGAACTCTCCACTCGCTAGGTGAGAAGCCATTTTCAATAACACCCTGTAGTTCATGGTGCTATCTGGGGCCAGAGTGAATGCCAGTTGCCATGGCATTGCTTTAAACTGTGCCTGTGCTAACACATCTTGTCACACTGTCACATGCTGCTCCCATACACTAGGGCCCCATCGATCTCTTCTCCCGTTTGCTGATTGATGCCTGAGCTCTGCACCAGGAATAGAGACATGTCAGCCAGAAAGCGAATCCAGTGGGTGCCACACCTTTTCCTTAGCTCGTTTATAAGGTACGGGGGTTAGAAACACCTGAACTAGGAAACGAGAGAGATGGGTTCTACTCACAGTTCTCCACTGTGTGGCTTTGGGCAAATCCTTTAATTCTTTGTAAGATTCCTCACATGTACAATGAAAGAGATGGAGTCGAAATTGTCCAAGGTCTCTCGCTGATGTAACTGTCTCTGATTCCTGCAAGCTGTTTTGAAGCAGCCGAGGCTCTGCGGAGAACCAAGATGAAAATGTGAGTGAGGCAATTCCTGTAAGTGGTTGCACAGTCCTCCCATGCCGACTGATTCCAAAATTCCCCTCCAGCATCTCTGTGCTGTTAGGGATTTGTTCTGAGTTAATTTTCTGGCAAAATGCCACTTGCCAAAAGGCCCCTTCTAGTGTACTAAGGGGACTGTTTTCAGCTTGGGTTAAGTCATTATTTGCTTTGGAAATGCTATCCTCTGAACATAGTCCCCAGTTCAATGCTCACAGCTGTGGTCCCAAAGATAGCTATCCTCCTGTACAAAGTAGGTTCTCAAACTAGAGAGAGAAATACATAGGAGGCTGGCCTCTGGACCTGTTTTACAGAGTTGCATCTCATGGGATTGAGAGAGCCGGCAGCTCTGGTAATTGTCTAAGCAGCGTGCAGCTGATCTCACTAGCTGGAATACAAATGAGATCATCTTTCCGTTTCTGTTTGCATCATCCTGACCCCTAGCGCTCACCTGCTGATTGCAAGAACTGGGCTCCCACCTGCAAATTCTCCTTCCCATCCCACCTCAATTGTGTCTGGGAATCCCCAGATGGGGTCTCATGTATATCCACCAAACAAAAATATGGCCTGGGAAACAAAGGGAGATGAGAATAATAGGGTGTCTTGGCTTAAACCAGGGGTACACAAGTCATAGAAAAAAATCTATGGCCTCAATAACAATCAACATCTTGATAACAAGGATGATACCTTCAGTTCACCAGGTAGGGAGTGAGAGAAAAATCTAGACAGACTTCATAGAGAAGGTGAAACATTAGCTGACTCTCAAAGAATGGACGCTGAATCAAATGATGATGGCTTTCGGGGAAGATGTGACGATGCAGATGCCCAGTGCCTTGCTCCCCAAACGACTGGGCATCCCCACCCCAACCTTCAATTGGAGTACCTGTTCATGCATTCTATTTTTTTTTTTTTTTTTTTTTTTTGAGACAGAGTCTCGCTTGTTGTCCAGGCTAGAGTGAGTGCCATGGCGTCAGCTTAGCTCACAGCAACCTCAAACTCCTGGGCTCAAGCAATCCTGCTGCCTCAGCCTCCCGAGTAGCTAGGACTACAGGCTTGCGCCACCATGCCCGGCTAATTTTATATATATATTAGTTGGCCAATTAATTTCTTTCTATTTATAGTAGAGACAGGGTCTCGCTCTTGCTCAGGCTGGTTTCGAACTCCTGACCTCGAGCAATCCGCCCGCCTCAGCCTCCCAGAGTGCTAGGATTACAGGCGTGAGCCACCGCGCCCAGCTGCATTCTATTTTTTAACATGTCTAAAAGAATTAAGGTAAAAAGATAATTGCATGTCCTTTCACTGCCATGCTGGGGCATTGTCTAATGGATCCATTCAAGTGTGATTCCTCTGGAGAATGTACCTTAGTTTGACTTATAAACTATCATTATTAGAGTCCAGATTCTATGAAGTTGCCTATTAATTTGTAGGTTTTTGTCTGTTAGAGATGCAAATTATTCCTAGTCAGTAGGAAAGACAATCCCGAAGATTAAAGTGTATTGACCTGTAAGACATTAACCAGATTTGCCTTTAATTTTGCTAATTTATTTCAGCTTGCCTTCTCTAACTCTGCATAAACCTCCATTCCTTGAATTCTCCTTGGACCAGCTTCATTATCTTGCTGGTTCCTTCATTAAATGAGCTAAATAAATATGCAACACATGCTTACTATATATTTGAGGGAGGACGGCATGTTTTTAACTCATGGAAAATTGTCGCTTGGCATTCATTGAACAAATATTTATTGAGCAACTATTATAGCTGTCTTAGTCCATTTAGGATGCTATAACAGAATACCAGACTGGGTGGTTTATAAACAACATAAATTTATTTCTAATGGTTCTGGATGCTGGAAAGTTCAAGATCACAGCACTAGCAGATTTGGTACCTGGTGAAAGCCTGCTTACTGGTTCACAGATAGCCTCACAAGACAAAAACAGGCAAAAGAGTTCTCTGGAGCTTCTTTCATAAGGGCACTAATCCTACTCATGAGTGCTCAATTCTTATGACCTCATCAACTGCCAAGGGCCCCCCACCTCCTAATACCATCACATTGGGGGTAAGGACTTCAACATATGGATTTGGGGGAACACATATATTCAGTCTATGGCAACAGGCAAGGTGTTGTGCTAGGCACAGGGCATATTGTAGAGAACAAGACAGACATGGAGCAAACATTCTATTGGGTGGGGGAGGGAATTGCAAATAAATCACTAAATTGTAGATTTGATTAGGGCAATGAAGAAAAATACATAAAGTGCTGTGACAGAGATTAATAGGGGAAGCAATCAAACAAGGCCTCTCTGAGAAGGTGACACTAAGCTGAGATTTGAAAGACAGAAGCCAGCCTTACAAAGAGGCATGGTGGGGGGGTGGTGTTCAGAGGGGGAAGGTTACCAGAAAAGGAAAGCAATGAGCACAAGGATTTGCAGGGGGGCCAGGTGCCACACATGTCCTAGGAACTACAAGAAGGCCGGCATGCCTAGGGTGGAATTGATCAAAGGAAAGATGGCATGAGGTAAGGTCAAAGAGGTAGTGTGGAAGTTAGAATTTTAATGTCAGAGCTTGTCATTTACTGAGAACTAAGGAAGAAGGGGACTGTTCACCAGCTAGAAGCTGGTGACCTCCACACTTTAGTTATTTTAATTTGTCAAATTATTACCTTTCTTAATGTTAACATCTCACATACTATGGTACAGTACATTTCTCAAAAATAAAAAAATTGACATTGGTACAATGCTATTATTAATAATTATACAACTAACCTCAGTTTATTCCAATTTTTCTACTCTATTATTTTTCCTGTTCCAGGATCCAATCCAGGACACCATATCACATCATTTGTCATGTCTCCTTAGTCTCCTCCAATATGTGACCATTTCTCAGTCTTTCCTTGTTTTGTTTTTTTTTTGACCTTGACACTCTTGAAGAGTATCAGATAATTTATAGAATGTTTCTCAACTTGGTTTGTCTAAGTTTTCTCATGATTAGACCAAGGTTATGAATTTTGGGAAAAAAAACAACAGAGTTGATATGACAGTCATTCTTTGACATTTTTTTTTCCGTGACAGGCTTTCTTTCAACACAGATACAACTTAAGACCCTGGCTGATAATTGTCTTGTGATACTCAGGGGAGGCAGATTTTCTGATATTCAGCCTAGAAAATGAGAAAGTTCATAAAACTGAGGTGAGAGGAAAGGATTTCACATTATTCCACAGGGAAAGGGAAGCATGATTGTAAGTGAGCAAATGCAAAAGGCTGGCTTCCATAAAAAGATGTTAATAGCACACGTATCAAAATGGAACACAGTGTCCAGCAAAAAACTTAAAGAGCTGACATTTTGCCAAGATTTTAACTTTTTCTCTAACTGACCATTTGAGTAGTGTGAAGCTCTATTATGGGGTTGTTTTTCTTTATCAGTAGGCACGATGAAGAAAAGGGTATAGACATACACAATTATGATTTACTTTCTGTTTCTATAAATTTTCTCATTCTGGACATTTCATATAAATGGAATTATTCAATATGTGCTCTTTTGTGTCTGACTCCTTTAACTTAGCATTATGTTTTTAAAGTCCATCCATGTTGTAGCATGCATCAGAACTTCATTCCTTTTTATGCCTGAAAATATTGCATTGTTTGGATATACCACATTTTGTTTATCCACTCATCAGTTGAGGGACATGTGGGTTGTTTCCATTTGTTGGCTATTATGAATAATGCTGCTATGAATGTTCATGTGCAAGTTTTTGTATGGACATATGTTTTCATTTTTCTTGGGTGTACACATAGGAGTAGAATTGCCTGGTCATATGGTGACTCTATGTTTAACTTTTTGAGGAACTGCCAAACTGTTTTCCAAAGTGGAAAAAAAGTGGCTGCACCATTTTACAATTCCATCAGCAATGTATGAGGGTTCTAATTTCTTCCTGTCCTGTCCAATGCTTGCTATTGTCTTTCTTTGTTATTTTTCTCATCCTACAGGGCATGAAGTTGTATTTCATTGAGGCTTTGATATATATTTCCCTAATGACTAATGAGGTTGAACAACTTTTCACATACTTATTAGTCACTTATATGTCTTCTTTAGAGAAAGTTTATTCAAATCCTTTGCCCATTGTCTAAATTGGATTATTTGTGCTTTGATTGTTCAGTTGTTAGAATTCTTTATATACATATTCCGGATCCTCACACCCTTTTTAAAGCCAGCTGAAAGACATCACCAACTGTGATCTTTACCCTGTAGATTTTTCAAACTGTACTAGGCTAGGACAGGGGACCCTTGTCAAGATTTTTAGGTGGTTCTCTTGCAAGTATGGCACATAAACCACCCTCTCCAAAGAAATGATCCCTCTCCAATTTTCAGTCTTTCTGATCTTGAACTCAATCTTGACCTTGAGACAGATGTGGGGATAAGAATAACAAAAGTAATTTTTACCTGCTCCCTTTATAACCCCTGCATAGTTAAGGTGACTAAATAATGTATCATTCAAACCAGAACACTCTTGAATGAGAGGGGGCACAAAAGTAATGAAAATTATATAAATGATTAGAGTATTTATTCATTAACTGATAGATTGGCCTTACTTTATCAGTGGAGTTACCTATAATAAAATTCTCTTCAAAACCTACTTTTAAAAATACATTGTGTCCCCCGCACTCGAATGTTTATAGCAGCACAATTCATAATTGCAAGGCTGTGGAAACAGCCCAAGTGCCCATCAATCCAAGAATGGATTAATAAAATGTGGTATATGTATACCATGGAGTACTATTCAGCTCTAAGAAACAATGGTGATATAGCACATCTTATATTTTCCTGGTTAGAGCTGGAACCCATACTACTAAGTGAAGTATCCCAAGAATGGAAAAACAAGCACCACATATACTCACCAGCAAACTGGCATTAACTGAGCAGCACCTAAGTGGACACATAGGTACTACAGTAATAGGGAATTGGGCAGGTGGGAGGGGGGAGGGGAGCAGGTATATACATCATAATGAGTGAGATGTGCACCATCTGCTGGATGGTCATGCTGGAAACTCAGACTTGTGAGGGAAGGGGGGCAAGGGCATTTATTGAAACCTTAAAATCTGTACCCCCATAATATGCCGAAATAAAAAAAAAACATTGTGTCCTAAAAAATAAAAATAATGAAAACTATGTATAGCAAGAACCTTTACATTGGTTATCTACACATTAAAAAACAACCTAAACACAACCAATTATCCTGGTATAAATTCATGTACCATAACCAATTTCTCTCAGCTATGCTCCTTCCCTCTTATCTTACCCACAGGAACTGTGATCTCCCCTCCACCACTTGGAAGCCACAAGAAACTTAAGGGATATTTCCTGGCTACCTCCCACTAGTCTCCTGATGCCACCATCTCTTCCGTTCTCCTCATGTGGAGGTAGGCCACCTCTATCAGTCTTAACCTGCTAGATGAGAAGCAGAGCACAAGCCCATGTTGCTCTTAGATCTCTGGACAGAAAGAGAGGTTCCTGTCCCTGGGCCCATTGAGAGTCGGGGTGGGGACAGCATACGGCCCTTATACTCTTTCTAACTCCCTCTCAACTCCTTTATTCTTCTCAACTGGAAAGATATTTTTTTCCTTTTTGGGCAGGAAGGGGCCCAAAGAAAAAGGGTTCTTGCCATTTACAAATCCTTTCAAGTTTTCTATTTTAGATTTTAAACTCTCAGCTCTAGAATTAGAAGTTGAGAATTTGGCTGCTTTGCTTGCCCATATCTGACTCTCTCCTGAGATCCGTGGTGAACCCATGCCCCATGGTCTGAACAGGGTGGTCAAAGGAGAGAAAAACAAACACCACTTTATTAATTTTATTATTCTGGACTATACATGCGTGTGTGTGTGTGTGTGTGTGTGTGTGTGTGTGTGTATGTGTGTGTGTGTGTGAGAGAGAGAGATTTATACATCAACTTATTGAAAGAGGTAGACACTTAGAAAGAAATACTGTAACTGGTCACTAGTTGATATTTAAGAGTTCTTTACTCCATTCTCTAAGTCCTCCTTCCCCTGATCTGGCCAGCACCTCAGCTAGATGGCAGTTTTTTCACCCAAGGTTGCATTACTAAATAACGTCAGGCTTTGGTGGCCCTGCCAATGAAAGGTTGAAATAATCTTCCATTGCCCATAACTGCTGGGCATAGAAATATATGATAGAACAAGGAGGGATCCCTGAGGAATTTTTCTGGGCTTCTTGTGTACACCTCTGCTCCCATTGTATGCCAGAAACCTCATTTCCCTTTGAGCAGTGTCAACCTAGGGTGACATCATAACCCTTTTTTTTAACCTATCCATGGCTAGGTACCTGGGACAGAAAAACATTATTGTGTCCCCTAAGGGAAGTATTTCTCCTTTGGGGAGTAAAGCCACCAAGACAGCAAGGCTCAGAGTTGTATAAATGGGAAGCAAACATTTTACAATTGGGTAATTGGATATAACTTTGAAAGGCACCACCCTCAAATCCTCTACCTGTATTTCCTTCCGGGCATCAGCTGCTTCAAGTTACTAAGAACACGACAAAACTAGTTAACTTGTTAGCACAGTATCTCATTGCCTTTCGAATCTCCTTATGAATTGAGTTCCTCAATTGAACACTTATCTCCTTTATGACATAAATTCAGGTTAAAACTTCACTTACACCTGATCCCTATGAAACCCACTCCAATCAGGGGCTACAGTAGATTTATAGATCTCTAGGAATCTCGTATTAGTTCAGAACCAGTATTCATTACTCCCTGAAAGGTTTAAGTCTCTCCCTTGTCCCAGTACACAGTTACCAGGGTAAATTGTCCCTGGTCCCTTTGAGAATGCAATGGAAGTGTTATATAGGTCTTCCCTGCAGTTATTTGGTGTCCCTCTCATTCTGGGCATTTGGGTTTATTACCAATCTCAGGTCTATGAATTGGAAGATGAGCTATGACTACCATGGTGGCTCAAATCAGGCCTCTATTCACCAAATCTGAAGCTTTGTTTTGGGTTTGGTTCAGTTATTCACATCACAGAAAACCTGAACCAGTCACCTGTTGATCTAATTCCTAGGGATGCCATAGCCAGAGGTCTCTGAGGATCAGACCCTTGTTGGGTACTTGCCAGGCCCACCCTGGAGCCTACTGTGGCAACCATGCCCACTTTGCTTCCCGTGATTAATTGGCATCACTTGTACTCTGCCACAGTTCACTTCCAGATACTTGCTGACAATAGGAAACAACTTCAACTTCAGCATTTCCTACCAGCAATCCTAGCCACAGACTTTTGATAAGTTTCTAGTCCTTTAATCCCAAAGCACAGTGAAGTAGAGTCTTCTGAGCCTTGTGAAGATGTAGTTAGGGGTTAGGTGGGCAAGACATGCATGTCAGATACTATTGGTTGATATTCAGCCTCTACATCCCCCTTTCTGTACCCTTCTACATATTTGGGGGGAGTTTTTGGAATATTATATTTCCCAAACTCCCTTGCTAGTTGGGTACTGGATATGTAGGCTCTGCCATGAAGAGAGATAGAAGGTAGGAAGAAGAAGAGCCCCAGCCTGCTCCTGGCTCTGGCAGAAGCAGCCAACTGTAGACAATAAATAGGCTGCAGCAGAATCCCAGTTCCAATCGTGGTGGCAGTGGAAGCTCCACTCAGGCCACTGCTCATCTGGAGCAGCTCAGCACTGAGTATGAGCTCATGGGCTTCAGTCCCAAGTGTTGGCAGCTCCCCAAACTCTAGATAAATCCATGTCTCCATTTTGCTCCACCAGCCCTCCCAACACATTTGTAACTAATTCCCTGCATTCAACCCTTTCTGCTTGAAACATCTAGAGTGGTTTAGGTTTTTTAACTGGACTCCTGACTGATACAACGGATTTGAAAGAGTCAATCCAGCACTCCTGTTTCCTAATGTCTTTGAATTCTTCTCTTTACATCAGTTGTTCACAACTCAGGTTGCACATTAGAATCATCTAGAAGCTTAAAAAACACTGATGCCGAGGCCTCATATTTCTAGAGATTCTGATTGAGTTGCTCAGGCACCAGTGCTTTTTAAACTCCCTCAAGCAATTTCAATGTGCAGCCTTTGAGATCTACTGCTCTCTATCATGCCAAGTGACTTCTGGCCTTTACATATTACCCAAGTGGACCAGCAGTGGATCCAAGGCTACATCAGCCATGCTCAGCAAACTCTTAGAACTGTTATTCAACTACTATCAATGTAGTGATATCAAGTGATTTTAATTTTCTTTCTCATACTTTTCTCAATTGTTTTAATGAACATTGTTTTAAATTATTCTGAAAGCTATTTCCACAAAAAGAAATGGTCTTTCTATCTACCCTAGAGCATAACTATACCCACATCACTAAATCCAGCTCAAACTAAAACTATATTCCATGAGTCTTGTTTAAATATCCTCAAAATGTAACAGAGGAAATGGCCTAAAAGAGGGTAAAAATGTTTTACAAGCTGTCTCTTTAAAACCTCCCCCACTTTTTGGGGGAATTAAAATCTACATCCCTGCCACAGGCCAGTGTTTGGGAGGAGCAAGGGAATGTCTTTTTTTTTTTTTTTTATTGTACCACAGGAGATGACTCAATAGATGGGCAGAAGTCAGGAGAATGTCTTCGCTGGGCATGGGATCGATCATAACCTCAACAATACCCTAAAACTAAAACACCCTCCCTTTAAAAGCTCTGTATTTCTGCTTATAGTGAGGAAATTGGTACTTTAAGATACAAGTCTGCCTTTTTCCTTATTTGTTGACAAATTAATAAACCTCCCTTTCTTTCTCCTCAAACCACTTGCCCTCATTCTTCTGATGCAGCCTCAGGAACAAGTGCCAAACTTTCGGTAACAAAAATTCATTCTTTGAAACATTATTGGGACTTTTTAAACTGCAAATAAGCAATGGGTTACAGAAATGCAGAGATAGTATTCCCCTATTGTTGTGGTGGTTGGGTGCTGGGTGAATGGAGCCCCCTGGACTGGCCACTCCCAACTCTAAGCAATCTCATCTGTTTAATCCAGCATGTTATATAAATGATCATTTTCTATTATCATTTTCTTGCTCATTTCACACCCTGCTCTGTCCCATCCTGCTCCATCCCAGGTCATGCTGTGTTTAGATTTTGGTTACAGGCATAGCAAAATAAGAAGTAGGGCATACAGGAGTTCAAAACCAGCCTGAGCAAGAGCGAGACCCCGTCTCTACTATAAATAGAAAGAAATTAATTGGCCAACTGATATATATATATAAAAAATTAGCCGGGCATGGTGGCGCATGCCTGTAGTCCCAGCTACTCGGGAGGCTGAGGCAGGAGGATCGCTTGAGCCCAGGAGTTTGAGGTTGCTGTGAGTGAGGCTGACGCCACGGCACTCACTCTAGCCTGGGCAACAAAGCGAGACTCTGTCTCAAAAAAAAAAAAAAAAAAAAAAAAAAAAAGAAGTAGGGCATGAAGCAATTCCTACTCCAATGGAGGGGAGACTCCTACTCCTCCCACTCCTGAGGCAAAGGAGATACCTCTTATTGAGGCAGGGAAGGTTCACAGGTTTGAGAATTTCAGAATTCTTTGAGGTTTGAGATATTCAATTTTTTTTTTTGATGGACCTAACTGATCTCCTTGATTTTGCTTTCCGATTTCATCTAATTCAATGCTTCCCAGGATTTTTCACATGGTGGCTCAGTCTAACCCATACCTCCTCGAGATCACCATACCAAACTGTGTACTCATACCCAGAGACACCAAATTGTCGTACCATTTTCTCTGGATGATGTGCCCTTAAGGTTAGATATGTCCTGAAAATGTATGGGTACCAAGCACTGTGCTAGGCTCTAGCACGATATTACTATTACTAGCACTATATTACCCAGCCATCAGCTCTTGGTGGCCTGCCCCGTGTTGCCTCCTTCACACATTTTTCCTGGACTTCACCATA